AATATTGTGTATTAATATATTAATATAATTTCCTATTATATATAATGTACAATATGAAACAAGATATTATATATTATATATTGAATAATGAATTATTTAGTTCATTCAATTTATATTAATATAATTTTCTATTATATATAATGTATTAATATAATATATTAATATAATTACAATATTATATTAATATAATTTTCTATTATATATAATGTACAATATGAAACAAGATATTATATATTATATATTGAATAATGAATTATTTGTACCTTTCTTTTCGATCAATTTATATTGATTCTATAATTCTATATTATTTCATATTTTAGTATATATGTCTGTTGCATTAATTAATTATTTTATTTAATTTGTACCTGTTGGAGTACAAACTAGATATTGCTGGTGTAAATTGATTTGACATGATATAATTGATAAATAGTAAATAACTGATATAACAATAATAATTGATATAATTAATAAGATATGCTATTATATAAATTAATTTAATGATAAACTGATATGTGTGAAGCAACGTATAAGCAGAATATAAATTGATCGAAAGAAGATACAAGTTGAATGAATTGAACGACTTCGATGCAATCCAATGCGAATTCAATAGTTTCCTCAGGAAAGAATAGAATTTTTATAAAAGATCGTCTCACGTGATTAAATGCTAGTAGAAAACACTCTTGACTATATATATATATATATATATGTCTTCCAAAATTTTCTGTAAACACATGAAAGAAAGAAAAATCCACACTCTACAAAAAATGACAAACGAACAAATGAGAAAGAAATAAAAAAATGCTATTACACGGATATTCAGCTTTTAGAAAATTTTGAACAGCTTTGAAGACGAGAGGAGGAACGAGGGTTATTGTTCTGGAGGAAGTGGGTGGGTTGGAGGGAGAGATGGGGATCTCCATCCATCGGTAGGGGATCGCGATTGCAATCGTGGATGCGTCGTTAGGTATTCAGTCTGCGTTTGGAGCGGTCTTCCTACTAATAACATCACGCATTCCGAATGTCTTTGCGTCCAACGCGGACGGCTTAGCCGAGTGAGTAAAGCGCGAATCCCCTTTGTCACGTAATGTGTTTTCACACCGGGGAGCCAGAGCCCGTGTTTTTCCTGGGAAGTCTTGAGCGGATGATTGTCGAAACCGGTGGAAACGTTTCATCGAAATTATTCTACGTCGGCTTCCACCCCCTGGACGCGTGAAATTTTCATGCAGGAATTCAATGGAGGGTGTAAAGTGCTCGGTTGCTGTTGAAAATTGTACGGACATGTGTATGTATGTTGAAAGTAATCGAAGCACGATGATCGGGTCGTAGAATTTTATACTCTTCTCCCTTCCCCTTCTTTTCGGTCTGGTCGAATTTCGTTTAATTCCTTTCGGTTGGGAGACTTGCAAAAATGTAACAAATCATGAAATGCTATAATATGTATAAATTCTACTGCTACTAATAATAACATAGCATGATATAAGAACGAGTAATAATATATAATATACAATATATAATATTGTACTATTACTATTATACTATTATATACTATTACTATTATACTTTTAGTACTATTATAGTACTATTACTATTATATATTATACTTTTAGTACTATTATAGTACTATTACTATTATATATTATTACTTATTATACTCTACTATTACTATTATACTATTATATTATTATATACTATTACTATTATACTATTACTTATACTATACTATTACTATTATACTATTATTTATACTATACTATTACTATTATACTATTATATACTATTACTTATTACTATTATTATGCTATGTATACTATTACTATTATACTATTATATACTATTACTTATTACTATTATTATGCTATGTATACTATTACTATTATACTATTATATACTATTACTTATTACTATTATTATGCTATGTATACTATTACTATTATACTATTATATACTATTACTTATTACTATTATTATGCTATGTATACTATTACTATTATACTATTATATACTATTACTTATTACTATTATTATGCTATGTATACTATTACTATTATACTATTATATATTATTACTTATTATATTCTACTATTACTATTATACTATTATATACTATACTATTATTATTATACTATTGTACTATACTATTACTATTATACTATTATAATAATAGTATATACTATACTATTATTATTATACTATTATACTCTACTATTACTATTATACTATTATATACTATACTATTATTATTATACTATTATACTATACTATTATACTATACTATTATACTATACTATTACTTATTATACTATTATATAATATACAATATATAATGTAATAAGAATATTATTACAAAATATAAATATGAATAGATAAAATATCGGAAATACAGTGTTTGTTACAATATATTCGTTAATATACGCACTGCAATGAAACCAATAATTTCTGCTTGGATTTAGCTTTTTTAATTAATTACATACGAATGCCGTTTAGCTATTATATTACAATGAAAAATGAAATGAAAATGGTTGTACGAAGCTTTCGTTCTTCGTTACAGAAATGACACGGATACCTGTAGTGGATTACAGTAGATTGAATTGCAAATAATTAATAAATTCATTAATAAATTATAGATTGAAATATAGTTTCTATAGTTGACGAATATATCGTAGATTATGTATCGTGGATGTATACTTCGCAAGAGTGTACTAACACTGGTATTATTTCAACAGGAGCCCCATTCGACGAATGTGACGAGGGACGTGTGGATTCGTGTTTCCCTGCAGGGCGAAGAAGAAGTCTGAGGAAGATGGAATTAAGTCGACCATATTGCCCCGAAATGGAATCGGTTCACCACCAGAGGGCGAAAATCTTAGGGTCCGCAGATAGGACACTGTTGTTCCAGCTTTTTACCTCTCTCCCTCTCTTCTTTTTTTTCTTTTGTTCTTCATTCGGAAGCAAAACTTGGCGAGCAATTAATTTCTCTCTTTCTTTTGTTTTAGTCTCTCTCTCTCTCTCTCTCTCCTTCTTTGCGGAAATGCTTAAAAAGTATGTAGAGCGTGTTGAAAGGTACTCCGCGGTGCCAGCAGATTTATAACTCTCTCGTCTCTGGCGGTTACAGTGAATTATTGCGTGGATTCTTTATCGGGTGTATTACCCACGGCGAAAAGAGAAATAATTTAAGAACGCTTGAAACATCTTCTGGAAAGAGGCAAATCCCGAAGCTGCGCGTCGTCCTCCGTCTCCTCTGTCGCGAATTTATCCTCCTTTGAATTTTAATCCAGCCGTAGCTGCATCCGGATACATACACAGCCGTATCGAAGTGGGATGCTTCTGATTTTGAACGTGCCTCTCGTTTTTCACCGCGAGAAGTGTCTTTGCCTGTGCGTCTGATTTGCTCGAGCGATCGCAGTTGCACAATGATGGGCGAGTTAAGGGAAATAAAAATATCAAGTGATCGATTGTAATTGTTGCGGCACAATGACATAGTGTTGCAATAATTATATCGTATATTTTATTGTTGTTTAATTGTAACACGTGTTACATTATACACAGAGAAGAAAACAAAAAAAGAAAATTAAACGAATATTATTTGCGACAACGATGTTGAGGTTTACTGGAAGATAAGCATTAATGAATTAAAAATAAAAAATAAATTTGTCGGAAGATATTTTTATACTTATACGGTAATATTGAGGGTTACTAAATTGTTTCTTGGTTAGTTAATAGTTCAAGAGATAAATGTCTCAGAAATAGGGAATATCACATGTGATGAAGGTTATTAGGTTATTGCTAGGATAGTATCTGGTTAAAGAAATATATGCCAAAAATAAGAAACAAATAATTTAGTTATTAATAATAATAGATCGATATGAAGTAAAATGTTCAGGTATTTATACGACAAATAAAACAGTTCAAGAAAATAAATGTTTCAAAAATACAAAAATTCAGATGTTTATATGACAATATTGAAAGTTACTAAATACTTGTTACTAGATACTAAATATATATACTAAATATATTGCTAGTTACTAAATACTTATTACTAATAGTTTCTACTGTATGTGTATGAAGAAAGAAAAGACTCAACAAAGGTTATTTTTTGATAGTTAATTCGAAACAATTATGCAGAAATCCTCAAAAAGATGGGACAATTCTTTCATGGAAAATTAACTTCACTCTTTCCCGCTGGAATTTAAATTCCTGCACACTATTGATAAAATGGAAAAGTTCACGAAATCATAATCTTCTTTTCAAACATAGCGTCTTCTCTCTATCATCTATCACCATTTCAGTTCCCTATAAATCACTATAAATTTGAAACGAAAGGCTCGAAAATTCTAAAACAAAATCCAAAAACCCACGAGATTGTAACCTTTTCAATAGACGTAGCTGTGTGTTGCAAGTCCACAATTTTCTCTCCATGATCAATCACAATTTCCATTCTCCCCTATAAATCACTATAAATTCATAGAAAAAGTTTCAAAAATTCGAAAATGAAATCCAAAAATCCACGAAATTTAATCTCCACCATCCTCCAAGTCAACGATCTGTTCCCTATCATTCATAGTCGTTTTAAATATCAGTGAAAAATTCTGAAAACCCACTCCCCATCAGACGTGTCATTTTTGTCATTCATTGTGATTTCAATTACCGCTGTAAATTCAGAGCGAGAGATTCGAAAATTCGAAAAACCCACCTGTTTTGAAATTGTAACTTCTTCAACAGACGTATCTTCATCCACCATTCGGTCGCCAGCTTGAATTCAGAACGGAAGATTCTCGAAATAAAGTAAGTTCGAAAGTAAAGTCGAAATATCCGCGGAATTAGAACTTCGTTATCGAACGTAGGCGCGTGTTCCAGGCACCGGAATCTTCCCGGACGATGAAATCGCTGGTGAGAGAGAGAGAGAGAGAGAGAGAATGAGAGAGTGAGAGAGAGAGAGAGAGAGAGAATGAGAATGGAGAGGGAGAAGAGAGAACTTACCAGGAAGGGAATCGAATGGCCATCGCTATGTACGGGCGCGAGGCGTGCGCCAAACACTCCACCACCACCGCCGCCTACCACCACCACCACCACCAGCACACCGTCTGAAATCGCCTTCACCACCACTACCAAGCCCAAACGGCGCACCTCGACTCCGTGCCACCTCCGCTGCCTCCATCAGTCGACCCCGTGCAACGCGGCTCGCCGGCCGCCGCGCGAAAAATCTACCCTTCGCACAATATCGTCGCAACCCTCTTTGCCTCTCGCCCGTCGTCTGCGCGCCTCGTCCCTTTCGCTCGCCTAGTCCGCGACGCAAGTCGTGTGTGCCCTTGGCTCTCCGCTTCCGGATCACGGCCGAACACCACCTCGCGCGCACTTTAGTCTCCTCCTCCTCCTCCTCCGCCAGTGTGTGACCAACGTCTGCGGAGCGTGGCTGCTCCGGCTAAGGTGTGTTTCGTTTCGGCGAGCGACGTACTAGAACGAAATAGATCTCAGAGAGAAAGAGAGAGAGAGAGAGAGAGAGAGAAAAATAAAAAGAAGAGAGTGAAAACGCGCGTGCGTGTGCATCGAGGTTGGTCGCTGGTGCGTGTGCGTGTCGAAGGGAAAAAAGGGTCACGGTGAATCGAAGGGGGGAAAAAAGGGGGTACGTAAAGAGAGAGAGAGAGTAAACGGTGAAACGCGGCGTGGTTGGAGAGAGGAGAGGATTCCGCGCAAAAGCCGGCTCCACCGGTGGGTCCCCCACTCGCTAACTTGTTGAGTCTCTCACTCTCGGCAGGTGTGCATCGGCGAAACTCCTCTGTGGACCACGATGACGGGCCCGGTTCTTCCCTTCCTGTTGCTCGTCTGCGCGAGTCTCGCCCGGGCCAGCGTGTCCGGCCAGAGGAACAACGTGCACAACGACCCGCTTGTGGTCGAGACGACCAGCGGCCTCGTACGCGGATTCTCGCGCACGATACTCGACAAGGAGGTGCACATATTCTACGGGATACCGTTCGCCAAGCCGCCGATCGGACCCCTCCGTTTTAGAAAACCATTGCCGATCGAGCCGTGGCACGGCGTGCTGAACGCCACCGTGTTGCCCAACAGCTGCTACCAGGAGAGGTACGAGTACTTCCCCGGGTTCCCCGGCGAGGAGATGTGGAATCCGAACACCAACATCTCCGAGGACTGCCTGTACCTGAACATCTGGGTGCCGGAGAAGTTCCGTTTGAGGCACAAGGGCTCCGAGGCGCCCAACAACGGCGACAAGAACGGCCTGCCACTTCTCGTGTGGATCTACGGCGGCGGTTTCATGAGCGGCACCGCCACGTTGGACGTGTACGACGCTGACATCATGGCAGCCACCAGCAACGTGATCATCGCCTCGATGCAGTACAGAGTCGGTGCATTCGGGTTCCTCTACCTGAACAAGCATTTCACCAACAGCGAGGAAGCGCCGGGCAACATGGGACTGTGGGACCAGGCGTTGGCCCTCAGATGGCTGAGAGACAACGCCGCCGCGTTCGGCGGTGATCCCGAGCTGATCACCATATTCGGCGAGTCGGCCGGTGGCAGTTCGGTGTCCCTGCACTTGATCTCGCCGGTAACACGCGGCTTGGTACGCCGTGGTATCCTTCAGAGTGGAACGTTGAACGCACCGTGGAGCTACATGACCGGGGAGAAGGCGAACGAAGTGGCCAGGATACTGGTCGACGACTGTGGCTGCAACTCGACCATGCTCCAGGAGAATCCCGCCCGAGTGATGGCCTGTATGAGGTCCGTGGACGCGAAGACTATATCCGTTCAGCAGTGGAACAGTTACTGGGGCATCCTAGGCTTCCCGTCCGCTCCCACTATCGACGGAATCTTCCTGCCCAAGCATCCGTTGGATCTCCTGAGGGAGGCCGACTTCAAGGACACGGAGATTCTCATCGGGAACAACGAGAACGAGGGTGAGTCGATTTCTCTGTCTCTGTTCAACTCTGGGTCTCTGTCGCCCTGTCCGTGTGATTCACGCGCGGTGGTTGGTTATGTATATATATATATATATATATACATACACACGTGTGCTGTCGTGCATAAGTTTAGACAGTTGTTGATATTTGCAACGTAGGCACAATATTATAATATTGTATATATATTACATCGATACGATATATTAATATACCGTATATATACAGTATATTGATATTATATTACAATACAGTATATTATTGTATATTATAGTACAGTATGTTACAATACATTAATATTATATTATAATACAGTATATTACTGTATATTATAGTACAGTATATTATAATACAATATATTGCTGTATATTATAGTACAGTATGTTACTGTATATTACAGTATATTAATATTATATTATAATACAGTATATTATTGTACAGTATATTACAGTATATCATAGTACAGTATATTACAGTATATTAATATTATATTATAATACAGTATATTACTGTATATTATAGTACAGTATATTAATATTATTAATATATAATATATTTTATATACTGTACAGTATATTAATATTATATTCCAATGGTACATTATATTATAATTGCACATAATAATAATATAACATAATATACTCGTACAATATATTAATTTAATATTGATGCAGTGCAATATATTAATATTACAATATGTCATGACGTTACATTGTATTGTATTAATGTTATAACATAATATATATACGTGTAATTTAATAATATAACAATAATATAACATGATATACTAAATCGTACATAATACAGTTGATAGAATAGCTGGTATCAATTTGCACAGATTGAAAGGGGTTGACTAATTTCTTGTATACTGAAAAAGTTTGTATCAATTCTACCAAATGCCAGCAACGTGTACGTACTCCTCGTTTCAGATGAAATTTAACAATTGCAATAAATCGTAGAAAATCAACAACATAGAAGTGTTAAACCGTGAAAAAAATAAAAGGAAGCTGAGACATCGACTTTTCGATTGTGAAATTGGACTGTCCAATTATTTATGCACGACAGAGCGTACGTAATAAATTTAGTGTTTCTTTTTCTTTTTCTTTTTTTTAAATTTACACTCAGAGTCAACTAATCGGTAGCTTGTGCGTTCGTTCTCTTCGCGCAATGGATTTCGATGTGAATCTTACGCGAGCCGTACGTTTCCAACGAGTAAACTTGGAGATTTCTGAATCGGTCTCGATGAACGAGCCTATCGAGCCCTCGGGGGCGTCCTCGAGGCATTTAGATCGCGAAAGGTTAATTAGCTAGAGTGGGCGGCGGTGTTCTAAGAAGGCGAAATCATTTCCACGGTGGTGGCGGGACGCGGCGGCAGCTTTTCATTAACCAGAAAGGCAGATTACGAGCCAATATAACGTACAGCCATTCGCATTATCCATACACGACAATAGATCGGTGGCATTGTTCGCAGCATTCGACGCATCTCGAACGCTGTTTTACGTAACGAACCTGTTTCAAAACCTGTCACATGGGACAGAAACGAAAAAAAAAGAAAAAAAGAAGGAAAGAAAAAATAGGAGGAGGAAAAAAGAAAATCACCCCATCCCGATCGATGGAACAACGTTGCTCCATCGATTCGATCTAGTTCCGCGTTATCATCGCCTTCGGCGAATCGGTTTTACGTCGTGTCGGTTCAAGGTCGCGTGTTTAACACGCGCCAAAAATGATTGAAACTGATCACTCACGTGTTACATGTTCAGTTTATTAATGTAATATTCAATTCAATAATATAATATATTGAATATAATAATATTCAATTTATAATAATTGAATATAATAATAATATATTTAATATATTAATAATTAATATAATATATTATAATATTATAATATAATAATATAATATTTAATATTATATAATTATTAATATAATAATATAATATTAATAATTATATTATTAATATATCGAATATAATAATATTCAATTTTTAACAATTGGATATAACAATATTCAATTTATTAACATAATATTGTAAATAAATATTGCGAGTATATAATGTTGTGTATTTTATTTCATTCTTATGTTTATTATATATTTCATTTTATCGTTTGTTATATATTTGTTATTTTGTTGTGCAAATTGTTGACAGAATAATGTCTCTTTCAAAAATGCATTATTGTTTCACATCGATGAAATTTCTAACTGAAAGTTATAATAGATGTTATAAATTCTATATGTAAAGTATGTAGTATGTAGTTTATCGTAATTCTTTTCGTTGGAAAAGAAATTTCATCGATGCGAAATGGTGTATTTTTAGAGATTTATATAAACTTTATTTGTATACTTTTATTGTATTGCGAAGTTTTTTTTTCACCTCTTTGCTTTAGCGAAAATCTTCTTTGATGGACATTTTTATGCTTCGGTCGTTGGTGATTCTAGTGTTAAAAATACTCTGTCGATTGAATCTTCGTGGTTAATATTTTATATAACGACAGTACACTAAATATAATAATTTCTGGAGACCAAAGCAGCATAGTTGAGTACCAATGAATAGTAATATTTTTACAGTGATATTTATTTAATTGTAACATTTGAATATTACTGTATATTATATTATTATACAATATTTAATATTAGTTTCATAAAACGTCCGAAATATTCTTCTTTTTTTATTTCTATAATTAATGTTAAAAATATTATTATTCGAAAAGAAATGTTATTATTGAAATATTTAACCATCACTGTGCTGTATCAAATATTACATTATTATGTTGTCGTGTAATAACAATGATATTAATTAATTAATATATGTTATTACTATTACGATATTAAATATTAAATATTTTTAACATACAGTATAATATCATCCAGTACTACACATTTAATACAAAAATTACACAAAACGTAGTAATATTTAATATTACACACACACATTTGTCACGTTAAATATTAAATATTACTTTCTTATTACTTTATAATAATAAACTTAATTAATACAACGTGGCAACATATTTTCTTCAGCTAGGCGATAAGAAGAATCGGAGAGAGAAGAACATTTTTGAACGTTTCGCGGAAAATATGGGACTCTCTCCATCACAGGGGCTGGAGAGTTAAAAATCCAGCAAAATGAAAAAAAAAAAAAAAAAGAGACGGCGCGTCGATTTTTGAGGGACATTTTGTCCATTAGTGCAAAAAGCAGTTTCTTGCTTCAGCGGATCGAGATAATTAAGTAGCTCTCCACCAGTTTCGTTTCCACCGGGTTTCCCGGCTCTAAATCGAACTGATTCCCCTCCCTCCTTCCCGCCTTTTTCTCCCGATGACTGCTCGCCGGATCGTAAATCACCGCGTTATTCGCGACGATCCCAAGCTGCTCCCGGAATATATTTCCATCTCCTCGACGGAATGGGAAACCTGTTGGCACACTGTTGGCGAAGCTGAGGGAAGAAAAAGAAAGGAAGAAAAAAAAAAAAAATCACGCGATCGCGTAAGATTGAAAAGGGGGGAGAGACTTCTTTCGGGCATTTAATGATTAATTGACCGGATCGTGGTGTGGATAAATTCTGTCAAATTCTGATCGTTTGAGCATTCAAGCTCAACGCTCGAATATTTCCGCGAATATTTCACTGCGTACAATAAAGAAATTAATATACTACAATATACTACAGAAAAGTGGAATATTTTACACAATAGGGATGTGCTATATATGCTCTATACAAAATATGTAATATAACGTGAACTATAAGTGTTCGAATACTTTCGCGATCAATATGCAATTTACAATAAAAAAAAAAAAATAATAATATATATATATATGAATATACAAGTGTTCGAAAACTGAATAATGAAAGAATTTATAGATAAATAATCTAGATAAAAAATTAATAAAATAATAATAAATAAAATAATAGTAAATAATAAATAAAATAATGAATTAATAAAAAATTAATGGATAAAGAATTATGTAATATACACAAATATACATAATAATATAGACAAATAATATACACAAGATATAGATATATTGTTATATTTCGTGATACACACAGTTCTTTGATGATCGATATACAATAGACAATAACAAAAAAATAAATAAATAGATTAATAATATACATATATATATGAATGCACGAGTGTTCGAATACTGAATAATGAAGAAAATTATAGACAAATAACGTATGCAAGATATAGTCTGATACTTTCATGATCACACACGCGATGCAATAAAATAAAAAAATTAATAAATTATTTATATATATATATATACACATATACATATATATATAAGTACATACGTACATAAAATTGTTCGTGAGCCACTCTTTTGTACGATAGAAAAATGTACAGTTATGTGTTCCATACAAGACAAATAAGGCAAACATTGTCGAATCCTCCGACTATATTAGACAAATTATCGTAACTGAATTTAGTTGATTGAATTGACTCAACTATCAAATTTAGGATCAACGTGGGTTTTTTAATATTCTCTCTTTATTTACGATGAAAAACAAAAAATATGGTCCAACTAAAAGAAGAAGAAAGAAAGAAACAAAGATGACGAAATCGACACGCCCCATATTTTTGTCTCCCTTGAAACCATACAACTTTCGAACAGTTCAAACTTTCAAACAGTTTCTCATTAGAGGAATGTAAAATGCGTATGATGTATGTAAAAGTTGCTTCAAGCGTGCAAGTCACGTGAATCACCCTGTACATGAATGTACACGACTGTTCGAATACTTTCCTCACCCACCGATTGACAAACTACGTACAACATATAACACAACCATATGCGCACGCTGCCCACCATAAGACACGTAACACATGCGTTCATTCGACGCTGCGAAATTCGACACGACAGAAAAGACAGCCGCGGTGGCAGCAGTCTAACGACGCATAGATCAGATCAGAGGATCATGGCAGCGTAGCTAAATTCATTTCACGTAGCTCGCCGATAGCTGGCCGATCTGACGCACGTCGCGGCGATTCGCTTCAGCAATTT